ACAGTTGAGAAGCGAGTGGCGATAGCCCTGTGGAAGCTTGCAACGCCAGACAGCTACCGGTCATCGGGAATCAATTTGGAGTGGGCAAATCTACTGTGGGGGCTGCTGTGATACAAGTAGCCAAAGCAATCACTGAGCTGCTGCTACGAAAGGTAGTGACTCTGGGAAATGTGCAGGTCATAGTGGATGGCTTTGCTGCAATGGGATTCCCTAACTGTGGTGGGGCGATAGATGGAACCCATATCCCTATCTTGGCACCGGAGCACCAGGGCAGCCAGTACGTAAACCGCAAGGGGTACTTTTCAATGGTGCTGCAAGCACTGGTGGATCACAAGAGACGTTTCACCAACATCAACGTGGGCTGGCCAGGAAAGGTTCATGATGCTTGTGTCTTCAGGAACACTACTCTGTTTAAACGGCTGCAGCAAGGGACTTACTTCCCGGACCAGAAAATAACCGTTGGGGATGTTGAAATGCCAATAGTTATCCTTGGGGACCCAGCCTACCCCTTAATGCCATGGCTCATGAAGCCATACACAGGCAGCCTGGACAGGAGTCAGGACCTGTTCAACTACAGGCTGAGCAAGTGCAGAATGGTGGTAGAATGTGCATTTTGCCGTTTAAAAGGTCGCTGGCGATCGTTACTGACTCGCTCAGACCTCAGCCAAACCAATCTCCCCGTTGTTATTGCTGCTTGCTGTGTGCTCTACAATCTCTGTGAAAGTAAGGGGGAGACCTTTATGGCGGGGTGGGAGGCTGAGGCAAATCACCTGGCTGCTGATTACGCGCAACCAGACACCAGAGCGATTAGAAGAGCACACCAGGAAGCGCTGTGCATCTGAGAAGCTTTGAAAACCAGTTTCATGACTGGCCAGGCTACAGTGTGAAATATCTATTTGTTTCTCCTTCATGAAAACCCGCCCCCTTTATTGACTCATTCTCTGTAAGGAACCCACTCTCCTCCTTCCCCCAGCTTGCTTTCAAACCAAATAAAGTCACTATCATTTAAAAATCATTTATTCTTTATTAATAGATTATAAAAAGAGGGAGGGAACCTGGGTGGGGTTTGGGAGAAGGATTGGCAGGAAGAAAAAGGCCACTAAAAAAAGGTTAAAAAAATGACAGCCTTTTGCTTGGGCTGTCCACTGGGGTGGAATGGGAGGTGCACGGAGCCTCCCACCCTCGTTCTTACACGTCTGGGTGAGGAGTCTATGGAACATGGGGAGGGGGATTATACAGGGGCTGTAGCGCCAGTCTGTGATCCTGCTGCCGTTCCTGAAGCTCCACCAGACGCCGGAGCATGTCTGTTTGCTCACGCAGCAGCCCCAGCGTTGCATTCTGCCTCCTCTGATCTTCCTGCCGCCACCTCTCATCTCGAGCGTCTCTCCTCTCCTCACGTTGGTCTCTCCTGTCCTCACGTTAGTCCCTCATGGTGTCCCCACATTGGTCCCTCCTGTCCTCACGTTCACTGGCATCTTTCCTATACTTTGAAACCGTGTCCTTCCACTCATTCAGATGAGCTCTTTCACTGCGGGTGGATTCCATGATTTCCGCGAACATCTCGTCTCGCGTCTTCTTTTTCCGACGCCTTATCTGAGATAGCCTTTGGGACGGAGGAGGGAGGCTTGAAAAATTTGCAGCTGCTGCAGGGAGGGAAAAAAGGAGAGAATTTTTTTAAAAAGATACATTTTACAGAACAATGCTTATACTCTTTCACGGTGACCAACACTATTCACATTACGTAGTACATGTGCTTTCTGTGCAAGGTCGCATTTTGCCTCTTAATACTGAGTGCCTGTGGCTTTGCTGCTAGAGATCACAGACGCAGGTCCGGGCAACAGAATTCGGCTTGCATGCGGCCATGTTAAGCCATTGTCTTTCGGCTTCTGCGCCCTCCTTTCCCACATACCAAGCAAAGCCCGTTGAGTGCTGCAGTTTTCCTGTTTACCTTCAGCAGCAGAAAACAAACTAACCCCCCCCCCATCCAATTCTCTGGATGATCGCTTTATCCCTCCCCCCACCATGTGGCTGGTATCAGGGAAGATCCCTGCTAGCCAAACGCGAAAAGCTCAGGGCCTTTCCCCCCACCCGCCCCCGCGCTTGGCTAACTGCAGGGAAGGATTTCTTTTCAGCCACAGGCAAACAGCCCGGTAGGAATGGCCACCTCTGTCCCCTTAATTAAATTCCCGTATTTCAACCAGGTTACCATGAGCGATATCACTCTCCTGAGGATTACACAGCAAGATAAAGAACGGATGTTGCTTGAATGCCAGCAAACACCGGGACCATACGCTGCCAGGCTTTGTCATGCAATGATACCAGATTACTTGCTACTAGCATGGCGTGGTCAAGTGTCCTACCATGGAGGATGGAATAAGGCTGCACTACCCAGGAACCTTGTGGAAAGGCTTTTGGAGTACCTCCAGGAGAGCTTCATGGAGATGTCCCTGGAGGATTTCCGCTCCAACCCCAGACACGTTAACAGACTTTTCCAGTAGCTGTACTGGCCGCGAATGCATCCCAAGTCCTCAGGGCAAAGTAATCATTAAAAAACGCTTGCTTTTAAAACAAGTTTTATATTTTAAAAGGTAAACTCACCTGAGGTCCCTTCCATTGGGTCATAGTCTTGGATACTGGCTTGGGAGGGTACTTCTTTCAGGCTGAGAAAAAGATCCTGGCTGTTGGGGAAAACGGAGTGCTGTGTGCTCTCCACAAGCTCGTCCTCCTCCTCTTCCCCCTCCTCAGAATCCTCAGGTGTGGCTGATGAGATTACCCCCGCCTCAGAATCCACGGTCAGAGGTGGGGTAGAGGTGGCAGCCCCACCTAGAATTGCATGCAGCTCGGCGTAGAAGCGGCATGTTCACGGCTCTGACCCGGAGCGAACGTTTGCCTCCTTTGTTTTTTGATAGGCTTGTCTGAGCTCCTTGACTTTCACGCGGCACTGATCTGAATCCCTATTGTGGTCTCTCTCCATCATGCCCTTGGAGATTTTTTCAAAAGTTTTGGCATTTCGTCTTTTCGAACGAAGTTCTGCTAGCACTGAATCCTCTACCCATATAGCGATCAGATCCAGTACCTCCCGTACGGTCCATGATGGTGCTCTTTTTCGATTATCGACCTGCATGGTTACCTGTGCTGATGAGCTCTCTGTGGTCACCTTTGCTCTCCACGCTGGGCAAACAGGAAATAAATTTCAAATGTTCGCGGGGCTTTTCCTGTCTACCTGGTCAGTGCATCTGAGTTCAGATTGCTGTCCAGAGCGGTCACAATGGTGCACTGTGGGATAGCTCCCGGAGGTCAATATCATCAAATTGCGGCCACACTAACCCTAATTCGAAATGACAATTTCGATTTTGGCGCTACTCCGCTGGTCGGGGAGGAGTACAGAAATCGATTTTAAGAGCCCTTTATTTCGAAATAAATGGCTTCGTTGTGTGGACGGGTGCAGGGTTAATTCGATTTAACGCTGCTAAATTCGAATTAAACTCATAGTGTAGACCAGGCCTGAGGTAGCTATCGCGATGTAAAAAATTACCTTTTTTAAAGCAGTGAAGACATAACCAGCTATACTTAACCACCTCTCTTCAGATCTACAGATGAAAATCTCTATAGATGTACCAATTGCAGGAGCTGGGCTCCGGTTTGAAATCAGTGAAATGTATCTAAAGCGAAACAGGATCAGTCTGTAGATCAGGGATCATTGGTTTGTTATATATCTTTTAAAAAAACTGGTTTCTATGTTGTCAAAATGTTGGGAAAATCTTTTTACACAAAATCTTCATGCTCAAGTCTAGTGCTTTAATTTTAGATAAGGGCTTGTATTTCTACATAGTGAAATTTGCTATCTTTGTAACTACCAGTAAATACATGTTGTCCAGAGGGTAAATAGGACCCAGATGGTGCTATACTCACTTGAGACTGTTCTCCATTTATACAGATCTTATTGCTTTATTCATTATTACTCCAGGAAGAATAAAGCCATTTTTTGTCTTGTTCAGATGCTGACATCTATTCTTTTTGTTCCTTGCTATTAGGCAGAAAATCTATTGGATCTAATTTTTGTCTTTTATTAGATTCAAAATGAATCACCCACTAATATAATACTGAAGCAATAAAGACTTCGGGTAAAGAAGATTTCTCACCTACAATCAAGGAATCAGATTCATCATGACTTATCACTATAATGAAGCTTTTGAAAACCCAGACTATCACTACTCAGAGACATTGGAGATTGACAGAAGGTAAGTTTGAGTAATAATTTATAAAAGTTCTGAACAATAGTACTGTTGGTAATAAAGGAAATTGAATATTTAGAACTCATGGGAGTGTGGGGGATGGAACTTGTTACCAGTTCTATTTTTCCCATTCATTTAAATCACTCCTTAGTTCTTGTCTGAGAATGTCTGTGGAGTCTGTCTTTTGCAGTGTTGTTTTAGCCATGAAGGTGCCAGGATATGAGAGAGACAAGTTAGGTGAGGTAATATCTTTTACTGGACCAACTTCTGTTGGTGGAAGGTACAGATCTGAAGAAGAGCTCTGTGTCACTGAAAACTTGTACCTTGCACCAACAGTAGTTGGCTCAATCATACCTCAACTACTCTGTATTTTTACATTTCTACATTTGTCATAGTGGCTTTGTTATTATTTTATACTTTAAATTAATATGTTCCAGGATTTATAGTTGCAGGTACCAGGGATTTGTTGGTTTTATCAATTTTTCAGCAGATGTGCAGCCAAAAAGTTTGCTGCACGCTAGGAGCTTGGAGCCTGATTTTATAAATGCTTATGCATATACTTACTTTGAGTGGTCCTCCCACTGACTTCAGTGGGACTGAAGTTTTCGTCTCTTTAATTCAGTTCATGATTAGCACTTATGTCAGAGCTTTGATTCTAAGGATTGTATATTGTGAAAATGTTTTAAAATGTGGTAAAGTAAGATGATACATAACTTATTTATATCAAAAAATTGTTTGACTACTGCACATCTAGAAACAAAGGCAAATAGATATATCTTACCTTTCTGGTCACTGTTAGTCCCTCCTTTTTGTTTGTTTGCTCACACAGCAGAGAAAGGAATTCATCCTTTCACCAAAAGCTTCCTGAGTCCTCCCTGGATGATGACTCGTTGTACGATTCCTATGAAGGTCGCAGTGGAAGAGGACAAAGAAACCAGGATTATCCCATGGCTATACCAATGGCCTCGATGCAGCCTGGCTTCCAATATAGCCACAGCGCATCGAGGTCGGCTGGGCCCAACACAAATCCATATGGAAATCCACATAGTATGTAATTCCACATAGCAAAATCCTATGTATAACCGACTGTATTTTGGGGATCCATTCCTGAAGTTGATCCAAATACCTGCTCATCTTGATTTCTAAAGGAGCTCTACATTCAAGGCAGGATCAGGCCAGAGCATGTTTTATAGAAGTGTCCCTCTTAGGAAACTAAAATGTAACATCTTTGTGGGCAAAATGAGAGGGAGGAAAACCCTTAGTTTTTTTAAAAAAAAGAACATTTTAGCAAGGATTATTTCCATCCTGTCACTCCAGAGTTTTATTTTTTGTTATGTTGTGCTTGGGAGGGGGAAAAACAGAACGTTAACATTAGTTACCTACGTTTTAAAAAGTGATTAGTGGGGTTTGGGTGCTTTCTTTTCTGGGTGCCCAACTTGAGACGCCATAATGAGGCCCATTTTTTTGTTTTTGTTTTTTTGGAGCACTTTCTGAAAATCAGGTACCTTTATGATGTCTTATGTTGAGCCTCCAAAAATGGAAACACCCACAATCACTAGCTACTCTTGAAAATGTAGGCAGCTAGCATCATTACGTTTGCCTTTCAGTAGTCTACGGCATGGTGTAACTATACTATACAATATAATGATGGATTTTAAATGGGTGTACAGTATTAGAACGAGGGACGAGAATAATTCAAGGATCTATTGTGCTATGCACAGTAGCACTGAGTTTATTACTATATCAACAAACCCAATCTTCTGTGAACTGTTTTAAACATTTCTTTGTGGCTTAATGCTTCTGCTTTTCCCTCTAACAGTTAATCCTTCCTTTGAGTATGAGCCAGAATTAGCATACACATCTCCCTCCACCTTTCATGCCGTGGATGGTCCTTATGTACGCAGATCTTCTGATGTGTCTGATGGAGGTAAGGTTTAAGGCACAAAGATGGAATGGCCAATGAGAACATTGAAACTTTAATCTCCAAAGGAGGATGACAGCTTTCTTAGGCTTAAACTAACCAGACTTTATCCCTTGATAAGATATTTCATACTAATGAATGTGGAAGGTTCTTTATTTAGTTCAGGTGGCTGATTGTCCAGGAGTCCTCACTGAATCCTAGTCACCATTAAATATCAAAATATTTCTTGACAACACTACTTCATTGTACCAGAGCTTCCCGGAACCTTTTGATTGGACCCCATCTCATGGCAATGAAAATAGAGGTGGTTGGGAATTTTTTGATGAATCATTTTTTTATCAAAAAATGCCTGTTTATCTAAACTGAGACTGTTCATGAAACAGGTTTTGATTTGAGGAATCTCCCAACTTGGAAAAAAAAGTTGTAGGGGGGAAAATGTCCAAATGTCTTGACATTTTAAAAACAAAAACATCAGACTTTCCAATTCAGTGACTTTTCACTTTTAAAACCTTTTAGCTTAATTTCAAAGGAGATGGGGAGAGGCTGAAATTGAAACAAAAAGTTTTGATTGACCTGGATTTTTTTTTGTTTTTTTTTTGGTGAATATTTTTGAGATTTGGACTTTTCATCATGATTCGATCTGAGAAGAAATTTTTAACTCTCAAAAATGTATGTGTGGGACATGCAAACTGTTCCCTTGCCTCACCCCCCCAGCTGTAAATGAAGAGTATGGTATGAAGCAGAGTCACCTATTTAAACGTGAATTCCCTATAAGCAGCTGTACCCCTGTAAATCACTTGTGAAGTTATTCAGGGGGTTGTGGGGCCAAATTCTTTGCTACGGTGCTTCCACTGATGTCAGTGGATTTACACCAGCAGAGAATTTGGCCCATCATGTGTTTGTGTGAAGGATAGTCCTTAGTAGTACCTAAAGGGGTGGGCCTTGGGCAGAGAGGGAGGGGCGAGCCTCCCCCACGGACTTGTTCACCCACCACCCAGGCAATCAAACGACATGTCCTTTGGGACTGGAATAGTGTAGGGTTGAATCTTTGACTAGATACTGGAACGCAGTCAGTCTTAAAATGATGATATTAGTGGCAATTTATTGTCTGTGCCCTGCATAACAGACTATATTGTAGATCCATCAGGTTTCAGCATCCTGTAATCCTTTTCACTGTGACATATTTGGTAACTGTTTGCTGCTTCTAGAATTCCTATAATGAAGAATTCTCTTCTAGAGTTGTTGCCTAGATACGCTGGAAAAACACCTCTCTTAGCTATCCTTAACCAACCTTAACCTTTTAGGAACATGTAAATGGATCTGGTTAACATCTGATTTGGGGGGGAAATTGGAGTCTTACTGGAAAGTAACAATTCTATTGCTTCATGGAAATGACCTGTTTCAAAATTCCTCATTATAGAACATAGAGAGAGGGAGAGAAACTTAATAAATTTCTCCTTAAGACTTTTTATGCTTGGGAAATGGATATCCAGAGCAATCAACTGAAGGATAAACATCCAGACCTTGAGAGTCCAGGGAGTACCTCAGAAAAAAGACAAACATATTTTCCTTTCTCTAATCCTTTTAAATGGATACAAAGAAAACTGGCTCTGAGTACAAATGCTACTATCCCCGTTGTTTATTCAGATCTGAAGGGAGAAATTGCTGAAGACCACAAAGGGAGCATTTGTTAGCAGACACTTTAGACTTTCCTGGTCTTCTAACCCTAGGAAATCTAAATGCAGAAGGGGAATGCAGCTCTGAGCTGCCTGCATCTTCTTCCCAAGTGGCTGCGAGTGACCAGAAAATGGTGTTTGTAAACTTTTCTCGCTCTTCAGCTTCAATAGAGGAAGGTATAAGCATCCAGTGAACATAGAAATGTCAGTGTTTTTGAATATTGGGATAGGGGTGAGAAGATGTGTTGAACTCTGATAAGAAAACGGGAGCCTATCTCTTAGGGCCAGATTCAGATACCCTTTCTTATGCTGAATAGTATGTTATTCCAGCAATAATCTCACTGAAGTCAGTGTGAGTCCTTGTGTAGTAGGGTTTACGGTGCATGTATCCCAGTCTGGCCCTTAAAGTTCAGTTTTCAAGTCTGAAAAATTACACATCAAATGTGGGAGGATGGGTATTCTTTACTTAGCTGGACTACGTGGAAAGTGAATGCGTAATGAACAGGTCTGGCTAAGCAAATTTGGCATTAAATTTCTTAGTTCACTAAAAAGTGTGTCTTGTTCAGGTAGCTTCAGTCAGAGATATAACAGAAGACAAGCTGACCTGGTCTACAGGATGCCTTCCAGCCTTCTTAGACTAGACTCAAATGCAGAAACGTATAACGAAGACAAATATAAACAAGGTAAGTTACTTAGAGAAATAATGGGGGATTTAAATATATTCTTATCCCAGAAAAATGTGGAAGGCCTTGATAGCCAATATAGAACCACAAGAGAACTTGAAACAACTTGCCACAAATGGCAGTCTCTACACTAGTGAAACCCAGCTGTGAAACAGTAGGGGTGTTGAGGGTTGGGCTTGCTAAATACATTAGCAAGAGTTGGGTGTAAAAGCCTGACATGGTTGTGTTTTGCAATATTTGGCCTTGTCTTCACTAGGAAAGAAGATGTATATTTGGCATGTTAGCTAACATGTTCATTAATTGTGCTAAAATCCTGTCTAGATAAGGCAAGTTGTAGTTCTAACACATGTTAACTGGTTGCGGTAAACCTTAAGCTCCCCACAAGGTTTTATTGTGCCTGGCTAACATGGGTTAAAATGATAACTGTTTAATCTACACTAGAATTTTAATGTGTTAATTAACGTGCTACCTGACATGTTTTTAAACTACACCATTTTTCCTAGTGTAGACATGGCTTTTATGCCCTAGCTGATGCTATTTTACATTTTTAGATTCACATTCAAGTGACTCTCTCAAACTGACAATTATTAAAACGCATAAGCCTCAAAATAACAGATCAGAGCACCATATCTAAAAAGCTTTTCAGCAAAAGTACAATTTGTTTCCATTAGCGCTAAATTTACACACTACTACTAACTAAATATCTTTTTTAAACAGAATTAATTTTCAGTTCACTAGGTTTGTTTTTTATGAAAATATAGAAACCAAAACCCCACTAGAAAAAACAGCGAGTAAGAACCTTTTTGGAAAGCTTGAGTCAATGTTTTTGCTTATTTTGTATTACAGTCCATCGTACTAACAGTAAACCATCACTGGGTATGGATAATTTTTGAAAGCATTAAAAACTGTATTCTCCCAATGTATTACAGAAACATTCATTCCAGAAAACTAAGAATATTTAGTGCAATACCACTGCTAGCTATCACTAGCTCTCAATTTCCCATCATTTAGCTGAGTCTTGGTAGTATATTGGATGTCTTATTTCCAAAAAAAGAAGAACAGGAGTACTTGTGGCACCTTAGAGACTAACAAGTTTATTAGAGCATAAGCTTTCGTGGACTATAGCCCACTTGCTATATGCATCCGAAGAAGTGGG